ATTTCCTTTAACATATGGAACAAGTCAAGGAGTTTGCTCTTACCACTTCTATTTAACATAATTCTAGCTAGAGAAATTAGACAATAAAAGGAACAAGAATAAGAAAAAAAAGATGTAAAATTATCACTGTTTGCTGATATTATGGTCCTATATTTAGAAGATCCAAAAAATTCCACCAAAAGACTGTTTTAGCTAATAAACAAATTTAGTAAAGTAACAGGTTACAAAAGCAACATACAAAAATCAGTATTTTTCCTATATATCAACTGCCTGATGGAAAAAAATCCCATTCAAAACACCCTCAATCTAACCAAGGAATTGAAAGACCTCTACAAGGAAAGCTATAGAACACTGAAGAAAGATATTGAAGAAAACACTAGAAGACAGAAAGACCTCCCATGCTCATGGATAGGCAGAATTAATATTGTTAAAATGGCCATTCTACCAAAAGCAATATACAGATTCAATGCAATCTCCATCAAAATACTAGTGACCTTCTTCATGGAATAGGAAAACAAACACAAAACAAAACAAACAGTCCTAAAGTTCATTTGGAAGAAGGAAAAATACAGAATAGCTAAAGCAATTCTAAGCCAAAAAAAGCAATGCTGGAGGCATCAAAATCCCTGAATTCAAATTGTACTACAGAGCTACAGTAACAAATGGCATAAAAACAGGCACATAGGCCAATGATACAGAATAGAAGATACAGAGACCAATACCCAGATACAGTCATATGATCCTGGACAAAGGTACCAAAAGCACATTGGAGAAAAGCAGCCTTTGTAACAAATGGTGCTTGGAAAACTGGCTATCCTCATGTAGATGAATGAGGCTAGACCCTTATTTACTATCCTGCACAAAATTCAACTCAAAATGGATCAAAGACCGAGGAATTAACCAGAAAGTATTAAACCCCTAGAAGAAAACATAGGGTCAACACACCAGCATATAGGTGCAGGCAACAACTTCCTCAGTAGAACCCCTAAAGCTCAGGAAATAATGCCAACGGTTAATAAATGGGCCAGCATTAAGTTAAAATGCTTTTGCACAGCAAAGGAAATAATTAAGAATCTGAAGAGAGAACCTACACATGAGCATCTTTGTTAGGTTCCTTTCTGGAAGAGGTTAATATCTAGAATATATTAAAAAAAAACTTAACACCTATAAAATAAAATAACCCAATTAATAAATGGGCAAATGAATTTAACAGACACTTCTCAAAGGAAGAAAGACAAATGGCCAACAAATGTATGAAAAAAATGTTCAACATCCTTAGCAATTAGGTAAATGCAAATTAAAACTACACAGAGACTTCATCCCACACGAGTCAGAATGGCAGTCATCAGGAACAATAATAAATGCTGGAGAGGATGTGGAGAAAAAAGAACACTTTTACACTGTTGGTGGGATTGTAAATTAGTACAACCATTATGGAAATCAGTATGGAGTTTCCTCAAGAGACTAGGCATGGAGCTACCATATGACACAGCTATGTCACTCCTCAGTATTTATCCTGAATTAAAGTCATTTTACTACAGTGACACATGCATACCTAGGTTTATAGAGCAGCACAATTCACAATAGTTAAACTATGGAACCAGTCTAGGTGTCCATCAGTGGATAAATGGATAAAGAAAATGTGCTATATATACACAATGGAATTTTATTCAGCCATAAAGAAAAATGATATTATGGCATTTGCAGGGAAATGGATAGAACTAGAGACCATTATGTTAAGCGAAATAAGTCCAACTCAGAAGGTTGAAGGGCATATGCTTTATTTCATATGTGGAAGTTAGAGAGGAAAAAGGAAAAGAAAGGTAGTGGTGGTGGGGAGTCTCATGAAAATCAAAGGGAAATCAGTAGGGGAAAGGGACTGGGGAGAGAGAGGTAGGGAGAGAAGGAGGAATTGCTGGGAAGGGATATTGGTGAAATCATAGTGTTATATTGTGTGTATGCATGAACATGTAACAGCAAATCACATCATTATGCACCAATAAAACAATGTGGGGGAAAAATCTTACTGAGAATCTTCTCCATTTATGGTATTTCTGTTTTCTATCATGACACTGTTATATGCTAGGGACATAACATTTTTTAAATGAAAGTCTGTGGAAGGTTTAATATTGTATGAACTTAATGTTCAGACAAATCAGATGAATTTTTCTTGATCAATCGTTTAACTCTGGCATCATAATATTTTAGAAAGAATACATCAATGCCTTGCATACAGGAAATGCAGAACAAATGAATGAACGGTGTCTAAAAGTAGAAACTACTGAGCTGTAGTATTAAATCAGGGTCAAAGGCTTGTGAGATGATTACTCTTTGAATCTCAATGGATGAAAACATCTATTTCCAGCAGTTGCAGAAATTACCCAAGATCCTGTTGTCGGAAAAAAGTGGAGATGGGATTCAAACTCAGGCCTTTGACTCCAGTCGCTTTTAACTCCATGTTATGCTGCCCTCTAGTGGTAACCCCAGAGGGATCTGCCTTCCAGGGAAGTTTTACTGTTATTTTTATGTGATTTCTTCCTCAAAATAGACTTTCAAATAACTTGTCCATTGGTTTTTATGATAATATTGCCCTATGCTCATTTGGATATATTTAGCTTTCTTCTCATTTCCTTGAGTGATGAAGGATAGCCTTTATTCTCACAGAAATATAATATGTACATTCCCTTCTCAGCTGCAGGGCTGACCTGAAAATGAGGTCAGGCAGGCAGCTTTTTGTGCATATAGAATGTAAGGAGTGCCAGGAGGCCCTCCCTACCCAGGAAATGTCCTTCCCTCACATCCTGATGCTTAAAATTCCAACACGCTTCTGTTTCTAGCCATGTAATTTTTCACAATGAAATACATCAGGGATAAAAGACATTGTAAGCTAAGCATCCTGCCAGCATGCTTGTTTTCTTTTAACCACCAATCCTTTACTGAGTAGGTGTTTTTGGAAGTGGACTCCAGTTGGGTACTCAGAATACTAGAGATTTAAAGCTAATTAAGAAGTGATTTCTGATCTCAGGAAGGTTTGATTTGGGAAGCAGATAAATGCAAAGGAAACACAATATACTGTTTTAGATGCCAGGATGCAGGCATTTATAAAGTGCAGGGAAATTAAAAAAGGGAGGAATGTACTGGTTCTAGTTTGAAATGTGAGAGCATATATTGGTTAAGCCTGAAGACCTTCACACTTTAGTAAGAATGTATTGTAAAGACTTTTGTTTCAGGAAGCATTCTTTGGTGATAGGAAAAGGTTTGGAGTGAGTATGAATTCATGCACATATTATAGAAGAAGAGAGAAAACAGTAATCAGAAAAAAAAATCCTTTCGAAGTTGAGCTAGCTCAGTAATGGAAACATTGAACACCCAGTTGTGTAAGCAGCTCACAGGTTATTCATGTCAACTTTCTTCCTTTCACTCCTCACAAAGTCTAGCTGATTATATCTCCTACATCTCTTGTCCATGGAGATACTTTTTAACTCCATTGGGCTCATCGCAGCCTAACCTACCAGCTTCTCATGCTCGGACATTGTATTTGCTCTGCTTGAGACCACTCTCGTCTAAGTCCACCCGTGTCCATCCTACGTCCATCTGATGATACCAATCCACTCAATGCCTTCACACTGCTATTAGGGTAAGAAACAAAATTCCTAAACATCTAGTAGACCCTACCTGACCTGACTCTAATTGACACTGTTACCTTTCTCTGAGACTATTCTCCTCTTTACTCTCAGACACACCTGTATTAGGTGTGATTTTAGAATATTATTCTGCTTCACTCCTATAGAAGATTTCTACCAATGGTCCCATCTTCACCAATCTGTCCACATTCTTTCCCACACAGCACTTCAGTGCCCTCCTACTCATGGTGACATGTAATTGCCTGGCTCTGAGTTCAGCCAAGTGACTTGCTTTGGCCAATAAAATTAGACAATGTTCAGAGCTCAGGCCCTAGAGCCCTTACATGTTTCTGCTTGTTCCCATGAACCTCTCCCTTTTCTGTGAGAGGAATATGGTCCTAGGGAAAGGATGAGGGACATCTGGAATAGAAATATACAACTGAGCCCAGCCTAGATAAAGTGAGCCCAGTGGACAATTGGATTTATGGGAAATGATAGCATTTAAGTGTTTTGGGATTGTTTGTTATGTAGCAATAGCTAACTGATACTCTAGACACAATGATTTGCATTTTCTTGGGGCTTGGTAAATATCTTCTATCTTTACTCTTCATATTAAACTTTTCTATTTTGGCAAATCAGGGTCAAAGACTGTATAGATTTATGAATAGCAAACTGTGGCTTGAGGATTGAATCTTAGTAATAAAACAGTGGGTAAATCCCCCACGACTCATCTGTGGCTTTCCAAACATAACAAAGGCTTTCTTTCCAATCCCATAAACTGGATGGATTAAATTGGGCATAGATCTTTCCATTCCTGCTATAGAAATTTTTCATCCCTGAGAGGGATAGAACTCTGCTGCTACAACCTGGAGGTCGCACTGAATGTTCAGAGCTGGTTTCTGAAATGACACAATCCACTTGCATTTTAGATAAGGGCAGAGTCTGTCATAATAGGCATTTTAAAGGTCAGGCTAGAATCAAGCAGGACATCTTGTTCCTTTAATCCTTGTCCTTTGAATTTCTCTCTGAAAAAACTATTGAATAATTCTGCCTTTTCCATTTTCTCTACCCAGACGAAAACTATTACTTAAATGGATGCTAATGAAGTCACAGGGCCAAGACATTGACAACTCAAAATGAAAACTATGAGTGCCTGTGATGTCTATCATACCCTGCACTCAAAGAGATGGCAAAATGCTGTGCCCTCAAAGGAGACTCCTGAACTCAAGACTCTTGCACCTTGTACTCCTGCATGATGGGTGAAGAGTGACTTGGGTGTTGATTACTACATCATCATCCGGTCAGAACAGAAATAAAGTTGTAAAAGAAAATGGTGCACAGGTGTCATGGCATGGGAGACAACCAATGTATACACACCTGGATTGCTGCAGTTCTTCTCCCTGAAATAAAATTTAAAAGTCTTTGTTTTAGTCTTGCTTGAACCCATCCAATATTTCAAAACAGACTTTTTTTCTGGGGTGGGGGGGCGTGGAACCAGGGATTAAACTTGGGGGCACTCGACCACTAAGCCACATCCCCAGCCCTATTTTGTATTTTATTTAGAGACAGGTCTCACTGACTTGCTTAGTGCCTCACTTTTGCTGAGGCTGGCTTTGAATTTGAGATCCTCCTGCCTCAGCCTCCTGAGCTGCTGGGATCATAGGTATGCGCCACTGTGCCTGGCTGAAAGCAGACTTCTTGAAGAAAAAAACCTATAAACTCTCTCAGTTAAAGTGTTCTGGATTTGGAGGGTGGGGGGATGAGGGGACAGGGAATGAGGAATTTGAATAATTAGCTCTTTCTCCTCTTTTAAATCAGCCTTGCTCTGTCTTCAAATGGTGTTTTGCAAAAGGACCACCACCGCTACCCAATCAGTGCCTGACAGACCACAGTTAGCCTCACCTCAGAGCGCCTTCAAAGGCACAGGAGAAGGTGAATTAGGCTAGACATTCATTTTCCTTCCTCCAAATGTGACACCTCTTTTACTTGAGAGCCAATGCTTCTAAAGGGTGTGTCTGTTCCCTCAGCCATGTCTTCCTGTGCTGTCTCCCATCCTGGGGCCCCTTGGTCCTTGGGGGAGTGGGCAACTCTGAGACCTATTTTGCTAGGCAGGAGGCTTAGAGCTGAGTTACCTGAGGTCTTGGGGACCCTGCAGTGGGGTTGGGCGTTGAGTGGCCTTCTTGCCCTGGAAGAGAGGCCCAGTGAGGAGACCCCTCATTGATGGGCCGAAATGCAAGAAGGACATGTTCATCAGGGGTCCTGGTTTGGGACTTGAAGGAGTCAGCTGTGCTGAGGGTACTTTCGGGATCTGAAAGCAGTCCTGAGCGGGGTCTCAGGGGTGATAGGGAAGGTGAAGAATCTCTTGGGCTTCCAGGTAGACTCTTGGAAAGGTGACCTGGGGAGCTTGTAGGATTTCTCCAGATTCTCTGGGTGGACACATCCAAGACATCTTGGTGAGGTGGTGAGATGGAAGACCCCCGGCTACTGCCCCTTAATCTCCTCAAGGTGGGAGAGGTGGAGATGCGGCCGGGGGCTTGCCGGTCAAACTGGAGAAGGTTCCCCTGGTTCTCACAGAGCTTCTTTGACGGGTTCCAGGGCCCCTGAGGAGAGGTCCCACAGCCCTGGGGCTGCATCTCAGGACAAGAAGACTCTGTTCTCCCCACAAAACTAAGAGGACCGACTGATGGAAGCTTCCAGGACACACCGTCTGGGTTGCTGTTCTCTGGAGCACAGTGGGGTTGCTGAGTTTCCAAATCCAAGAGCCACCCTTCCTCTGGCACTTCTTGGTCCTTTCCCAGAGGACAGTCACAGGCTGGTGGCTGCATCTCCCGTGGGGAGGAGCAGATGGTGGAATCTGAAGTAAATGAGGAGACTGAGGTGAGGACAAAGGTTTCTGAAACTTCAAGGAAAACTTCTAGCTCTTCAGAAGAGATAAGTAGAGCCTAGTTCACATTAGCATCCTTTACTGAGGATAATGAGCATAATGAGGATAATGAGGATAATGTGATTCGAGCTGCCATATCTAAATAGTCTACTGAAATCCATTTACTGTCTGCTTAACATTTCTTCTCATTCCAAACAAACAAACAAACTTAAAAAACTTTAGTGACTTAAGGGGTTCCTTGGAAGTCACATAGCTAGCTATTTTTTAATTATTTCATTTTAAGAGAATCAAATTATGAAATATGATATGTCTAGATCATTGTAATATTTTGAGCAACCAATAAAAAAAAGAGAATCAGATATACTTTAAATTCTCCTTACATCTAGCTTGTATGCATATATGTGTATATTTATGTACTTTGGTGCATTCTAGAACAAAGAGAATAAGATCTATACTCTTAAGTTTTAAATCACATAATGAGACACGCCTTCAAATAAAATAAATGTAAAGATTTGACAAAAGACATTCCAGATTTTATCAATACCCATATATTTTTTTTTTTTAAAAAATGACTTGAGTTTGAAAAGAAATACTCAGGTGTCACCAGATATCCTGCTTCTCATGATTAGCTTATCTTCTAGAATGTACACAGGCACAGTTACCTCCCTATTAAACACTTCTCAGGCTCAAGGAAAGACTGATTCTTCTGTTTGACAATTTGATTCATGGCAAAATGGAAATGATCTATGGCAGTTCTTTTATTTTGTAGTTTCCCACATGAACAAAGTATTTCTGTGTGGGAAAACATTATTCCTCACCCATCCATCAATTATTTCATGACTGTCAACAGATGAGGGGTGACAAACCGTAGAATAAATAATATGACCGTCTTCCCTTGCCATGAGCAATGGGCAAGGTGGCTTTAGACTGTGTGTGGATGGTTTGTGGATGAAACATCAGCAGTTGATTGCTTATTCCGAGACCTCCACAACAGTTTGAGCAAGCCTATAATTCTCCAGTGAAGCAGCAACCTGGAACCCTTTGGGAATGAATATATTTGAGTCACCAAAATTTAAGGATACCAGTCATCTATGTTTTTCAGTGCTATATTATTTCAACTGCATTGACAATACTTTTTAGGAGAGCATTTTTCTATAGCGTATTAATTTGTTTCAACTTGATAACAGCGAGGGCTGAAAGCCAACAAATTTTTCTTGTGACCTGACCTCATTGCGTTGACTATCACTCAAGTACTGTGCTGAAACATGGTGATTGTTACTGTGTTTGTTGAAGTTCTGTGGTGTAGAAAGAATGAACAGGCTTTTAAATTCATCCTTACCAGTAAAGAGGAGGAACCCGGTGTTACCATGTAGTCGTGACGATGTTGTAATACTGATGTCGAGGACTTCACGACTCTTATATTGACTCCCTGACTCTCATTGGGTTTCGGGTTAGATAAAATAATAATAGGTACTGGATTTTAGACTGGAGAGTTGTTTAAGGAGCTACTTAGACGGCAATGAAAGTGAATTCAGTTCTTTTTTACAAAAGAAATTTGAAGTCCTCGAGGCTGGGTTTGCTTTACTGTTTTGAGCTGAGGATTCAAATGTTATAAAACCTCCCGTGTCACACTGGAATGCATGGGGTACCCTTTATTGGGGGTGGAGCAAGGAGGGTAATGCCAGCTACAACCTATATGCGGTGAAGCCTGGGCTGCCCTGGATTTGAAGGTTCGTGATTTCTGGTCGCTGCTCTAGAGATTAATACCAGCTTTGTTGGAGAAGGAGAAGTCCTGCTCTGACCATCGGTGAGCTCAGCTCTGTTAGGTGTGTTAGGTTTGTTCAGGTCCTGAGGCCCTGGCTGTTTCATGGAGGACCCAGTTCCTTATTTTCATGCCAAAAAAAAAATGTCTGAGCTGAGGTCTGGAGTTATAGGTACTTTCACACATACACACACCCAAGGATTTTACTATTTTTCTTTAGAGGATTATCCAAGTTCAAGGCGACAATAATGTTAAAGAAATTCAGTACGTTTACATGGGCCCTGCCATACTGGTTGTATCGGTTTCCTTTCTGTCCTTTTGGCCTGATTTCTCCTCCTTGGAAGGGTTAGGATACAGCTTAGGTAACCTTTTCAGCCGTCCAGACATAGGTGTGTGATCACTGGTAGGAGGTTATCTATGTCCAGTAGGATTTAAGAGTTATTATTTTTGTTTATTGGCCAGTAGCATTACTAATGGCACTTGGGCCACGGCATGGTGACTGGCAACATGACTCGCCTAGCACTGGAGAAAAGCAGCAGGACTTTGGGAAGTGGCTGGTAGAGAGATAGGAAGGGTTCAAGCTCAGGAGTAGGCGGATCTGGTTTCTCTTCCAGCTTCACTACCAACTAAGCCATGTGACCCACGATGAGCCACTTCTCTGTCTGCCCATGTGCAGCATTTAGGAGAAGGCCTTCATAGAATCTCCTTCAGGGGCTGGTTTCAGGAATTAAATGAGATAGTGGCTAAGGCTCCTGGGAGGCCCTCCCCAAAAGACTACCCCTTGTGGATCTGATAAGAGTTGAAAGTTAACCGTGAACTAGTTCATGCCAACTCTGCTTTGTGTTATCTAAAAGGCCAGACTGTGATCATTTTAAAGAGGTCACCAGCCTTTGACTTCCCAAGCTTAGGAATCTAGCAAACAGCCATTTACAGCGTTGGAGAAGGCTCTCACGGTACTAGAAATTAAACCGCAGGGATTAATGATTCACAGATTCTAATTAGATCTGGAAAGACCAGCTAGACAGGACCCGGAAAAGCTGGTGGCAACTGGTTTTGTACAAACAGAAAATGCAAAAGGGAAACCCAGAAAACAGCTGAATGTCTTTATTACCTGTGGGAAGGTCTGCCTCTGAATGTGACATTGTCCGTGTGGATCCTGACCATCCAGAGTTTGCAGAATCCCAAAGAGAGCTGCCAGACCAGGGCTTGGAGCAAGAGGTTCCGCACGCCTGTAACAAAGCACCCTCCCTTCTGAGTGCAAGTGACCTTGATACAGCTGAAATGAGGAACTGGCCTCTCCCCTCCTTAGAGACCTTTCTAGTTATTTGTTTATGAAAAAGCTGAAAGGCAAGCGAGTTCAGAACCTAAGACCGCCTAAGACAGAGTCAGGTGATTTGTTTTTACTGAACAACGGCTGCTCCAATACAGAAAGGATGCAAATTGGCCTCTTATTTCCCCTTAAGGTGTCCAATAATCATTCACGACAGTTCAGGGAGACGGTGCTAGCTTTATATTCTATTTCCTCTAAAACAGTGAGAATCATTCCTTAGGACCTTATTTTCTTCACATCTTAGAATATTTTCTGCCAATCTCCTTTACTAATGGGATGCTTTGATCAGCATTGAACAATAGAGAAGATTTATGAACATTAATTTTCAAATAATTAAAATGCAGATTGAAAAGTATTTGTATCTACTAATATTCTCATTAGATCAGTAGCCCCAAAGAACATTTATTTAGTGCCTAGGTAGACTTTTTTAAAGCCAGATAGCATCAAAAGTTTTCTATAAAGTGTTTAGAAAAAACAAAATCGGGCTGGGGTTATGGCTTAGTGGTAGAGTACTTGCCTAGCATGTGTGAGTCACTGGGTTCGATTCTCAGCACCACATATAAATAAATGAACAAAATAAAGGTTCATCAAACTAAACTAAAAAAAAATTAAAAAGCCTAATTTTAATTGCCAGTTTACGGATTTTTTTTTTTCCACTTAGAACCATCATAGATATTTATTGTGAAGGTTTCTCTAGTCAGTGGTTCAAGGTAGAAGCCCTGGACCAGCAGGGTAACATCACTTGGGAATTTGCTAGAAAGGAAAAATCGCAATAGACCCATCATCTGACCACTCCTTGGTGTTCATCCTAGAGAATTAAAGTTAGCAAACTGTAGATTTATATACATACCCATGTCACAGCAGTGCAATCCACAAGAGCCAAATTAAGGAACCAGCCTAGGTGTCTATCAACAGATGAATGGATAAAGAAAACATGGTATATATCCAATGGGGTTTTATTCAGCTGCCAAGAAGAACAAATATTATGTAACTTACAGAAAGATGGATGGAACTTGAGAGCATTCTGTTAAGCAAAATAAACCAGACTAAGAAAGGCAAGGGTTGTTTGTCAATGGATCCAACCGTTGTGTATGATTCTAATGCATAGATAAAAGATGATAAACAAACAAATACTGGATTGACCATCTTTAAAAGAAAGAAAGGAAAATTCCACCCCCTTGCTATCAAAAACTTCACAGTGGGGCCAGAATTCTGTGTTTTCACCAGTCCTCTAGGTGATTTGAGAACCATGTTAAAATTTGAGAACCACTGTCTGAGGAATAAAAAAGTCTAACTCATAGATCTTGGCCTCACGATAACCTTTGTGTTAGTCTTTAATTCTCTCATATTGGTCTTTTTAAAACAGCATTTACTTAGTGCTTTAAAAATGGCTTGGCCTCCTCCCTTGGCAATCCTCCTCCCCTCACTAGCGCCAGCACCCAACCCACCTTGGAATATCAAGTCATATCTATTTTTGCCACCGTGCAGCGGACAGGACGCAGTCAGAGCTCCTGCCAGGGCTATCTAGGAATGGATTGCTTCACTTCAGGAAGGAAGAAAAATGAATGAAGTCTTTGACCTTTTGGCTTGTGGAAGGCAGGTCATCCTTCATCAACTAGTCCCCTCACACACACACCTGGGTGTTTTAAAACTGCCACTCCTAGGGGGCATCATGATAATGGAATAGTTGATCCCAATACAGAAATTTCCAATTTGTAGTTGTAACTTGAACAAGAAAATTAAGAGTCTACAGAAAGGTCACAAAGGATGATCAAGGAAGAAAAAAAAAAGGTTGACTTTCCACCTGGTTTGTCAAAGAGCAGGGATCAGGAAGGGGAGGGAGGGGATA